TAAAGCTTCTTCATTTCATTTCTTCTGCTTTCAGTTCACATTGATAAATTCTTCTAAAATCCTTGTAGATTTCTTATGTTTCAATTAATAATCAACCCCATTACACACAAATCAAATTCTCAAGCTCTTCAAGATAGCCCTTTTCTACCTACTTCTTTTAAGACTGCTATAAGAGAATACCCTGTGAGCGTTGAACACCCTATCATTTAACAGAAATGATGTGAATAGGTAGGACTGAAAGATACTTCTTTGTTTGAAATGATTAATAAGACATTCTTATTAGTCTTGAAAATCCTTCTGAGGTATTAACAGAGTATTTTATAGACTCATCCTACACTTAATCTGTTCCAAAGCCATTTTAAATTTAGTAATTGTTTTTAGAGAATCTGAGAATAAGAAATAATTCTGCCTGGAATTCATCTTTAATAGATGATTGAGTTGAACAGGTGCAATTATTCTTTGCCACATTACCATGATGTTTATGTTGGCAGACTTCATCATCACCTAACAAGGGAAAACTTTCCCTCAGCTTCCAATAGCATTTTCTTTGCTTTTCTTTAAGGTTTCACTGAGACTCCTCAAAGTCTATCAGGCTTCCACTACACTCCACTTGAGACAGTTTTGACTTTCATTAATAGGGTCCAAAGCCATTCCAAGTTCTTCTGATAGCCCTGCCCTAAAGCCAAGGTCATGAGTAGGTTTGTGTTATGGCAGTATCCTTCTTCTAGGCACCAAATTTGTAACAGCTATCTATAGCTACATATACTATCCCCAAAACTTGGTGCTTTATTGTTTATGAATCTGCAATTTGAGCAGAACTTTAACAGGAACAAGGTGTCTCAAATCCACAGGTCCTCACCTTGGGTGGCTTGACTGGCAGCTGGATAATCCACATTCAAGATAACCCGGTTTGGAAACTCTTCTATTCCTAAAAAATTTGGAAACTCTTCTATTCCTAAAATTGACATATTCAATAGTGAAATAACCATCAAACCAGGGTGTCTTATGTATATTTTGAAGTTCTTTCTTAATTTTTATTTTTTAATTTTTAAAAGTGATAGATAAAACAAAGATTGTACATATTTACGGAGTACCTTGTGATGTTTCATTACATGTACACATTACACAATGTTAAATCAGTGAAGTTTATCTCTCCAAACATTTACTATTTATGTTGAAAATATTAAAAATCCTTTCTTCCATCTTTTTGAAACATGTGTACATTAACTATTGTCACCTTACTGTATAATAGCACACCAGAACTTCTAACTACTAACTTTAACTTGGGACCATTGATAAACCTTTCGTTATACCTCCCTACCTGCTGTTCCCCCCAGCCTCTGCTGGCTACCATACTACTATCAATTTCTATGAGGTCAACTTTATTTATATTCTACATATGAAGGAGACAATGAGAACTTGTGTGAAGTTCTTCTGCTAGTCATCTTCAGAAATCAGCAGAATCAATTAGAAGCCCTTTAATTTTTAAGGGAATAATATGAAGTATCACACTAGCAACCCCCAAAATAGGTAGGTGTGGATGAAGCAATTGCTGTATATGGGAGGTTCTTCTCCTGTTGTACCAGAATATTTTGGGGAGGCCTAAATGTTCCTTGTTTGAATAAGAAACCAGGAAGTTGGCAGCCGCCACCACTTCTCGAAAGTGCCTCTTCTTTTCCTTGCCTGTAAATGATATGTCAAGGTCATGAAATACTAATATTCACACTTCCTGATTCTTAGACTCTAGAATTTATAAGTCATGGCTAAGCATGTGTTATTCCCTTAGCAATCTCCCAACCAGAACTGTGCATTCTTTCCTCTTTTCTCTAGCAAGATGTTCCCTGTTCCGTAGTTACTGCCTTAAAATATCTCAGTCTGAATAATTTGCAATATCTAGCAATTGAATGTTTATTCAACTTTAGACTGTATGACTTTCAGAATTATATCAAGTTAAAAATTACTTGGTTATTACACATCAACTAGAATTCTAATATTTTTATAGGCAGAACCTCTTAATATTAATTGTAAGGGGCTCTGGGTAGAATTATTTTTAATATATAGGTTGATAATAAACCAATCATTTAACTTGGAGTTCATCATAAGTATAAAGTGACTATATTTGTTAGTTTTTCTCCACTTTTAATGCATATCCTACCAGATCAAAACATTTCAAGCAGCAATCTTATCTATAGATTGTATTGCAAAAGAATATTTTTCTAAATATAACATTATGAAGTATTATATATAAAAAATGATATCCTATGCATATGTGCTTGTTCACACATGCACATGACACTGTTTCCTCCTTTATTTCCCTTGTTATTAACTGAAAAGCATAAAGTATTTTTAAGAAATGTATTTTCAGTCACCTTTGCTTAAATGCAGCTAATCCATTAATTACCAAGAAATGTAAATGAACTCTTAAACTGAGAATTATAAGCTATTTCATTCATTTCTCTTTTTCATTATGGGCATTGCAAGCAGAATGGATCAAAGAAAGACTTCTAGGAAATTGATATCTAATCTGAAAATGACAGGGTATGTCTTATAAAGTTGTGATGTTATTTGCATTTTGCTTTTAGCTTATTAAACAAAAACGGAAAAAAAACAATAATAATCACAAATTATACTAAAACAATCGCTATTGTGAATTCTGAAAGACTTGATGCATGCTAGTAAAATTAATGTTGGCAAGTGGTAAAAAAGGTCATAAACATTAACTTTGTTATTCCTTTTACTTAACAGTTTTTCATTCAATCTTGGTTGACTAAATTGAATTGTGATATTTCAGAATAGACAAATAAAAACGTGGAATGCTCAATGTTTGTCATTAAGATGACTTTCTGATCCAAAAACTAGAAGGGGACCAGCTCTTGCCTACACTGTAACCCTAAGAGTCAGCCACGGTGGATTTGAATTAGTAAATTTAAATGAGGATGTTTGCAGAGGGCAAGACAGCTGACAGTATTAGAAGAGAACAGGGGATGGGAAACAGCAAATGTCCATCTCCAGACTTTTTACCCATAGTCAAGTCCAGAGAGATGGGGCTGAAAGCAGAAATGATCAAAATGGCACAAGGGATTCATGGGGGAAAGCTGGGCTCTGAACCATCTTGCTTTCCACCGAGGCAGTAAGTAGTAATAGAATAAAGGAAGGGCTCTCTTTTCTTCACATGGCATGTGCCATCATCACTTGAGCAGAGGATCTGGTGGAAGAGCAGGAAAGCAAGAGAACACTTATAATCACCTACAAGGACTGTTGTGAAGCCATGTGAATAACTTTTGGGGGGGCCTTCAGTATTCTTGGATGAGATTTAGAAGGGCATCATGCCTAAGCATGTGATGGAAAAAGAGAAGTCTCATCATTAGTGCAATCCTATTTGTCTTCAGATGCTGATGAGGATTGAATGAAGATACTGTCTTCAAATGCCTATAGCCTGCATATATTCATCAGTTAGTTATCATAAAATGTTCTGATCAAACAAATCAATCCATTCACAACTGAGATTTAACTGATGTCTGTTGAGCCTATCAAAGCAGTTTCTGCCCAGGGGCAGGGTTGTGATAGATGTTTGTGAATCTACTCATCAAATAATACTGGGTTTACAATACATCAAGAGATTTTCTACTTTGGGACTGTAGAAATAATAAAAGGAATTCTTTGAGATGTACCAAAACAAAACTGTGAATCATTTGTACTTGGATTTACTGAACAATCACCTCAAGAACACAAATAACAAATAGCAGTGCTTGACATGGGTGTAATTATTTTAAATCACTAATCCTTTCCCAAAAGATATGGTACAATATGTACTTCAAGTCTGAGAAACAGCCCATTGTCAATGGTGTTACCATTCACAGTGACTCCAAATTTCAAAATTGCTATGTAGAGACTTTCTTCTATGCCTTTTTTGTGCGTGCTGTTAGGACAATATTCACAGGTTATGGAAAACTTACCTCTATAGAAACATTTCTTTCATCATGGGCGTAGTCACTCACACTCAATTTATGCATTATGTACAACCTTTGCTTTTTTAATTTTTAAGTTGTCAATATACCTTTATTTATTTATTATGTGGTGTTGAGGATTGAATCCAGTGCCCCATATATGCTAGACAAGCACTCTACCACTAAGCCATAACCTCAGCCCTAATTTTTTTTTTCACTGTTTAAATCCTACACTTTCTTTAAAACTTTACCCAACCCACAGCTCCTTGGTAGACTTCTCTGATCACCCCAGGCTACTCTCTCTCAAATTCCTTCTTAAAGTTTGATAATCCTAAATTTATCCATAAATTAATAGTTGCTTTGTTTTCCATCTGGTTTTTTAGATCCTTTTTTATTCTTCATTCTACATAGCATGGTGGCTTGATGTAACAGCTTTCAAATGATTATTAAGTCAAGAAAGCTTTAAAACGAGAAGAGGGAAGATGAAACTTAATATGTTGAGGCTCCTTTTATGTGTATACTATGAACATGATTTTGCCCACTAGTTCAGCCTACTATTACAACTGTTACATTTTATGATGATCAAGTTCTTGGAATCTTGAACTGTTAGAAAAGAATTAAAAGTGGTTAAAAAACTGGATAGTTAAAATCATTGAAGCCTGTATTATGATTACTAGGGGATGCTTGGTTTTTATGTTTACCACTGCAGTTAGGATCAACTGGTTAAACTGTTGAATAATCTTACCAAAGAACAAAAGAACACTCTCATATCTGTTCTTTAAAATTTAGTAGTACATTTTAAATAAAGTTTTATTTGGCCTTGGATGAGAATCATTATAACCATAGAACTAGATGAGCCCAGGAGGCCTGGGTATATTCCTCTCCACGGTAGTCCAGACTCAGCTGCATCTGTGGAAAGCATCACAGAAGCCACTCCAGGAAGAGAACAGCAACCTACTAGAGTCTATGCTGCAGTTCTGCTGGAATTTATTTGTTACTCATTGAATCTAATCCAAATTATTCATGTTGCAATACAAGAAATCATTAACAACATTTTAGGCAAAATAAATATTTTATTGTTTTAATATAGGTTTTTTAGAAATCAACCTTTGTGTGGTATTTCAAACATTATAAACCTTTTATATATTCTTTCAAAGAACACTGTTAACATCTCAACCACTTTCAATTAAAATTTCACACACAAAGAAATGTAAGAGGAGTTGAAAATTATAAATGCTGAAAGAATAATTCCAATGACATTTGGTTGTTACTTTTCACATTTATTTAACACATGTAAAGCCAAATAGGAAACCATTTTCCTTTTTCTTTCATATAAACAAAGTTTTGACTGGTTAAAACCAAATTAAAATCATTTATATATGAGGAGAACAACTCTAAATTACTTCCATTTTGAAAAAACAAAAAACCAGCTTATTCATTTCTATCCATTCAAGTCAAAGGCCCCATTATTTTGACAATATTATGTAGTTTAAAACACAGAAGAAGAAACATCTCCTTATAAGAAGAAGTCTGGACAACGCAAAAAGTACATAGTGTTTATTAACATAAGGCACATTTCCAAAAGAAAAATACTACGTAAGCTGTAATAAAATTACATTTGTTTGGGGTAAAGCAATGAGGYTTACAGTGTAAGAACATTGAGTAGTTGTAGGTAACCTCATATAATTTTAACCTACTGCTATTAGTAGCCTCCTCAAGAATAAGAGCAATTTTTACAACAGAACAGTTTGTCTTCTTGAAAGTGACACTAATTAACAGCAGTGGAGGGAAAATCATTGGTTGCTTCAAGCTCTCAAAAAATGAATCAGTTATTGCACAGTAAATACCTCATAGAGGTCAGTGTTRTAAGAAGCTAGTCTGAAGAAATATGTTATTTATAAATTGGTTATGTTTGGAAGTCTTCAAGTTTTATAATTAATTCTACATAGGGAATCAATTGGAAAAATATCGACATACAAATAAATATTAGTCTTTCCCAAATTGCTACAGTTTTGAGAGATTAGAAAAGAAATAATCAGCAAAGTGCCTAGTTTCTATGTATGTTTTTTGAAAGATATGCATAGGGGAGATACACACTGTACACTGTATACAGTAGCCTCGCTCAGCAGACAGTATCTTCTGAAGTACAGATWACACCTCCACCAGTGTATATCATCGATAATTCCAATAGTCACAACTAACAGGATCCATGCCCACCTTAAAAGAGAAAGAGACATCAACATTAAATACTCTTCAAACACTATTGCTAAGGGAGTCTTTAAAAGGTAGATACAAATTTTATCCAAATATATATCATGATCATCCTTGGGTCACAGGATGCACATCTTTTGGAAAGTTAATTCTTTTATCTAGATTTTTAAAAAAATCTAGATTCTATTAGTTTTTTATGACATGATTTAAAATATTTCTTTCATTTTCCACAGCTAAAATTACATATTATAGTTTTCAAATTTTATTTTGTTTCTCATCTAATTTTTCATATCTACAAAATGTATTATCCTACTGAAGTGAAGCATATTATTCCTTTTTGCATTTACCAAGTATTATTATTAACAATACAAATTATGATTAGAGATGAATTATTAGAAATGGATCCATCGGATATGTTCCTTTAAAAGATAAACAAATGGAAAGATACTAGGAATTTGTGATTAATTCTCAAAATCTTGTTCTAAAAACTGCATCTGAAACACCATTATAATGTCAGCAAAATAAGACTCAGATCTAAAGACCCAATTCCAGGATTTATTTAATTACAGTGAAATTTAAATTTAAAAACACAATATAGGTAATTCTGTGGAGGTTAACATTTGACTTGCTTACACTTCAAATGGAGTTTATAAGATTCTCAAACTGTAATTATAAAAGTTGCAAAAATAAAATTTTAACTAGAGAAAGAAAATTATGTGCTAAGAAAACAAAAAAAATTAAAAACTATGTTAACTTATATTTAACTAAACAAAGAAATTTAGAAAAACTTACCTAAAAATTCCACTTAATTACTATCTTGCTTAGGATTAGATGCTGTACTTGAAGATACTGCTGCTAAAAGTCAACTTACAATTTCCCTTCTGATTTCCCCAACAATTGACTCTTTAATCTATAATGGAAATGGGAAAAATTAGCATTTGACAATATAATCCAGTTTACCAGTTTTCAGAAAAATATAAATAGCAATAAATTCTTGCTATTAGCTAAACCACAGGGAAAACTGCAACCTTAATGGGAACCTCCACATAACAGCAAAGAGGCAGTGGAAATTTCAAGCCACCTATCCTCGAACCCAGATCAGCCTCTGAGGCCTAATTACTCTATCAGCTTACTACATTATAAAATGTCACAATTCTTAAATTGAGAACATCAGAAAATGTTATTTCACTGACTAAATAATTTACTTCACAACACAAAGTAACTTGGAAGGACTAATGAAATGTTACGTTTACTTTGATGCTTTCTATTAAGGTCTGCCTCTGTAAGGTAGTTACCACGATGCCCTAAGAAAATCCCCTATTAGCAAAATGACACAGGCATATTTGCTTACTTATATCACTGAAAGCAAAATATGTAAAGAAGTTATACATTGCTCTAACCTTACATGCACATTTTAAATGGAAAGAGGAAATTATCAATTAGTAAAGTATTTTAAAACACAAAGAACAACCTCAAAATAACCTTAAACTCTAATAAAATATATTTTTTTCTTTAGTGGTATTGTACGTGTGCTGTTAGTCTGTTACTTCAGGTAAGGGTATAAATCTCATTTTATTGTTGAAAAAGGCAAGCAGACCTGGGTCAATGGTAATTCCATGCTGATTTTCTTCTCCAGATGTCTAAGTACTGCATATGCCCATCCCCTCCCATTCTCTCTAATGATACAGCACTGTCTCCAAATAGCCCTCTGTGAAGGCTTTAAATGTGTATTTCCTGAAGTAAACTGATAATGCCTTCCCAAATTAGCACTTGAGACACTCTTAACTAGCTTTTAAAAATTCTACATTTCCACAGTTTCCTGTCAGCCTGATCTACTTCCTAAAACGTTCCTAAGTACGTCTTCAACACATTCCCACTGAAGTCTTTCCAAAAATGTTTCTGTATTAATCTGTCAGGCAAAATTGGTATACAATACATAGACCTAGGCATAGTTATTCATAGAAACAAAAATGTTCCTTATGTACCAACCATCTGCACTGGCATGTACTTAAATAAATATAAGCTTTTCATTTTCTAAAATATTTCTAAATTTTAAATAGCACCAAAAGTTTTTCAAGTTCATAGCATTTCAGATTCGTTTTCTAAATGAATGTGTGTTAGATACAAACATGAAACCAGAATCGCTTAGCTACAGTATGTAAGCACGAATACAATATGTGTACACAGAGCAACTGCAAATCTACATTTATAAGACAGTGAGTATAAAGTTTTTCCAGTTCAGTTGCCAATGCAATATGGAAATTTTATTGTCTCCTTGTTCTTCATCATTCAAAAACCAAACTACTCAAAAAGTATTCTTTACCAAACAACATCTGCCAAGCATTTGGGGGGAATTCAGACAATACTTGTGAAAAGCATAGAAGAATCTCTAAGAGCAAGGCTTGGTGTTATACGCTTGTAGTCCCAGCTACTTGAGAGCTGAGGCAGGAGGGTCACTTGAATAGCAAGGGCTACAGCTAGCTAGCTCTATTATCAAGAACGTTATCTAGATGGATACAATACAAATATTAGCTCATAAAATGTTAAAGGATAAACAATTTTATTAACCCATTAACCACAAAAGAACAGAATAAATTTTGAAAATTTTTGAAACAAGTATGGGCTAGAAAAGGAAAAAAGTTTAAAAATTCTCAGAGAATGACAGATCTTAAATAGCAAGTTTCAAAAAATTAAGAAAATTTCATAGAACCATGAAGATAAAAAACTTTGCATCAAGAGCATCTTGGATGAATTGGAGGTAGAACAGAAACTAAGTGACAAGCGAGTTCTTTCCAAAAGGAGAGGAAATATGAATGAAAGAATGAGATCAAGTGGAAAATATGGTTAGCTACTTCCCAGAGGGGATCAGGTCTAGCTTATCAATGTATTCATACATAAAAGTAATTGCTCAATAAACATTTAAACAAATGAATGAATGAATGAGTGAGCAAAAGAGGGAGAAGAGATAAACATCAGCAACACACACCGGACTCCAAGTGTGGAGTGTGGGGCAGCACATCTATTTAATATGCATCTACTCTGCACTACAGCCTCCTTATCAAGTGATCTCTAAGAAAGTTCCAACAGACACACATGGTGAGCTCTGCCTTACTAAAATACATGTTTAAAAACATGTCAGATGTACTGTAATAAAGATCCTAAAAGGCAGAAACCAAGCCTAGGAACTTCAATAAACACAGAACAACTTTCTAAATATGCAGCCATCTACCTTTACTCTTTCGAGTTCTGTTGAATTTGCTTCTGTGGCCACAGGTTTGTTCATCCTATCAAATCATCTTGTAATATACAAACTCATATATATTTTTAAAATAACTAAACATTTTCAGGCCACTGATAACATAAGTCATCAATAACTGGGGCAAATTCTAACACAGTGTACATTTTTCCTACTATAATGTACACAATCTGGGCAGACAAGGAGTCCCTTTAATCTGATACAAGTTGAGTTACCAAATGAATGTATCAGATATTTGTCTGGAAGGGCTTTATTTCAGTGGTCTCCTTCCAAAGAAATTCTATTATATTAAAACAACAAAAGCACTCTTTTTAAAAACCTCACAGATGGTGCAATAATAGAAAAAAGCCCTGACAGATTATCATTGTTTTTATGCACCCATGAGTGCAATAAGAAAACTTCCCTGAAAGTGCCTGCCAATGCTTGATCCTCACCTGCAAGATTTAAAGATTAAACCTTGTCTTCCTGAATGGTATCTTTGTCAACAGGGTTAGGGGCTCAGAATTTACTGGAAAGACAGAATCTAATTTAATTTTCTTGGTAGAAGATACAATGAGCTTTAAAAAAAAATAAAGGAATTCAGTACCAAGTGCATTTTAAGTAAAAAAGATCACCAATTGGAAATAAATGGAATGAAGACTAATCTGAATTAAATATTGTGTAAGCAAACTTTTAAGCAGAAAACCACTGTATTGGAGCTAAAATAATATAAACAAATGGTATTTTGAAAATTATCACCAGCATTGGATTAATTTATCTATTAATACATGCTCTTAAAGTACTTCAAATGCATCCGTCTTTTTAAGTATATCAGTATTCCTCTTATGCCCTGTTTGATCTATATATTTTGCTTGGTAAGTCCTTCCTTGCAGACAGCAAGAGTAAATGTTAAAGCCCAACTTCCTTCAAACTATGCCAAATTATGAACTCAGTAGTTTCTAATTAATGGACTTAACATTTCAAACATTTGCCTTGCGTGCCAGTTTGAATGTCTGCAAAGTATAAAATTTTTCATGTTTAATAGGAGATTCCTGTAAATGATTAAATAATTCTCCAGGATCATGGCACCAAAATGGCAACAAAGGACTTTTTTCATGATATTCTACTGGCCAAAAATATCAATATTCCTGTCTAAAGTTAAATTACTTACAGTATATATTAGGTCACTACAACTTTAAAAACGAGGACTAAAGTGTACATGTTTAAAATTTGTGCCAAATGAGAAATATAATGTCAAGTTTTCAAGAAAATTTTCAAAGTTAAAGGGCACAAAAATACCACATTGCTTGCAAATCAAAACTACTCTAAGATTTCATCTCACTCCAGTCAGAATGGCAATTATCAAGAATATTAGCAACGACAAGTGTTGGTGATGATGTGGGAAAAGAGCACACTCACTGCTGGTGGACTGTAAATTGGTGCAACAGCTCTAGAAAGCAGTGTGGAGATTCCTTAGAAAACTTGGAAAGGAACCAGCATTTAACCCAGCTATCCCAGTCCCTTTTCTATACCCAAAAGACTTAAAATCATACTACAGTGACACAGCCACATCAGTGTGTATAGCAGCTCAATTCACAATAAACAAACTGTGGAAGCAACCTAGATGCCCTTCAATAGATGAATGGATAAAGAAACAGTGGTATATATACACAATGGAATATTACTCAGAATTAAAAGAGAATAAAATCATGGCATTTTCAGGTCAATGGGGTTAGATAATATAATGTTAAGCGAAGTAAGTCAATCCCCAAAAACCAAAGGCTGAATGTTTTCTCTGATATGTGGATGCTGATCCATAATGGAGTGGGTGTCAGGGGGCAAGGGAAGAATGGATTGGGAAGCAGGGAAGGAGAGGAAGAGAGGGAGTACGTGGGTGGAAAGGACGGTGAAATGAGATGGTAATAATTATTCTATGTACATGTATGACTGCACAAATGGTGTGACTGTGCATCATGTACAACCAGAGAACTTAAAAATTGTGTTCCATTTGTGTACAATGAGTTGAAATACTATTCTGCTGTTATGTATAACTAACTGGAACAAATTAAAAAATCACATTTCTTAAAAAAAAAAGTTACTTAAAACCTAGTTCCTTGGTTAACAAATATAGTATGAGAAAGTTTTACTAACCAAAGGCACATCTGACTGAATAGGTTGGACAGACAGTTTACTAAATGTTAAGCAGCAACAATCAACTTTCAAAAATAATTACTTTTATAGGACAAATAAATTCACAGAATTAACACTTTCTAAAGTTTTTGGCTGATAGCTTCATGTAATGAAAATAAATAAAGAACATGCTGTGTTCTGCTATGATACTTATTTTGAAAATGTAAATTTGTTTCAACATGGTTGAAATATTAGGAAACAACTGTGTATAATGCAAATTACACATTTACTTATGTGTACTTTCATCAACAACACTACATAAACACAATTAACAGCATTCAGCTGAACCTAGAAACACAGCACAAAAATGCACATTATTTAAACACTGTCCAGAAATCTCAGTTGTCTGTGTATGGGCCATATTTATCCATACTGGGCATCAAAGCTTTCTGTAAGATTTCAGGTCCCTCTCCTTCCACCCCTTCACAACAACTCACAAACTGCAATCCTTCCAAAGCCCAATTCTACAAGCACACCTCAAGGTTTTCTCAAGGTTAAGTATGATATTTGTTGTAGCATTTTTGTATTTCTCAACCATTTAAAATGTATACAACTATGCTACTATTTTGATTCAGTTTCTATTTTTTGTCTTTTTAAATATCCCTGATGAAGTTTTGAGTGATATGCGTCTAAATCCTATTTCCTGCATAAGTCCTATGGTTTTTGATTGCATGAGTTTACACAGCAGAGATTTTCAGGATCGCATATATTATCTGTGTACATAGCAGAACTGATGATATTTATATTTAAATAGTTTCTCAAGATACTATCATACAGCTGCAAATGATGGCACTTAAGATATATAAAATAATCTCTGGGCTGAAAGGATCAATGGCCCATTTGAGGAAACATTCTGGTCTTTTGCCACCATTCTTGATCTATAACCACTAGAAATCTGTTCTTTGCTAAAAATTAATTCTAAAATATGCTAGATTCATATTGCTAATTATATTGATGATACAGTTTTTTTTTAAAGAGATAGTGAGAGAGGAGAGAGAGAGAGAGAGAGAGAGAGAGAGAGAGAGAGAGAGAGAGAGAGAATTTTTTTTAATATTTATTTTTTAGTTCTCGGCGGACACAACATCTTTGTTGGTATGTGGTGCTGAGGATCGAACCCGGGCCGCACGCATGCCAGGTGAGCGCGCTACCGCTGAGCCACATCTCCAGCCCGATGATACAGTTTTTAAAAAGTGGGAGCCAGTGACTAATTTCTCTGACCTCATTTTGACCTTTCCCATTCCTAAATTCCTAGTTCTTCAATACCTTATAAAGATTGAGAATCTGTATGCTTGGGACCAGAAATATTTCAAATTTTGGAGTTTTGCTGATTTTCTGAAATGGTTGCACAGACTTTAAAAGTTGAGCATCTCTGATCTTAAAACTCATGATCCAAAATAGATTGAAACTTGAAACTTTTTGATGACCTTGCAAAATGCTTTTCTGTGCAATTTTTCCATCATCTCTTGAGTTAGTCTTGTTTACCAATTCCTACCAGAATTTTAAGTGTATGCGCTTCATAACTTACTTGTATTTTTCTTTTATCCCTCTTTACAGAGCAGATTCTCAGACACTCATCAAAAAAATTTTAATTGTTGTTGTTGTTGGGATCAAACCAAAGGTCTCACACAAGCTAAGTATGTGCTTAATCACTGAGTTATCTCCTCAGTCCCTAAAGTGATTTTTTAAAAAAATGTATAGGTATTCTTTTTCACTAACAGACATAATGAAAAAAAATATTTTCTTGAATGGGGTCTTAGTGCCTTGGCTGGAAAAAACTACAGGTAATATGGTTCTGCCTTATTACTCTTAAGAGTTCTTAAGACAAGAAAATAGAACAGAAGGAAAAATATTTTCAGCCTGTGTAATTTTATCCTGTGTAAGCTATTAGGTTTTACAACAAAAAGGACAGTGTGATTTAAGAAGAAAAGGGGGGTAGGATCCATCATAAAAGTATACCTATGGGGCTCACCCTTTTTAAATAAGATATACTATACCTTCTTATTAACATTCAATGCTAAAAAGTTATTATGCAAATTTTCTCAACTAATCTGTCACCACTGACTACAACCTTTGTAATTTTTTGCAGGCCCTTTGGTAACCTAGAATTCTTGTTAATGCTTCAGATTCTCATGTTATTATTATTCAAGGTAAATCTTCTTTTTGTATTGATTTCAATTTTTTAACAACTTCAAATTTCCACACTTCTTCACCCACCAAGTATATCAAATTTTTTATACTTCTGAAAACCACAACATCATTTTCTTACATCAGTTGAAATAATAAATGATAGCCTTTAATCCTGGAAAAGACCAAAACTGTAATCCTTAGTGCTCCAGATATGGAAGAGTCAAGAGGGACAGACTCTGTAATGTGTTTATGTGCTTCAAACTCTACAAACATGTTTTCACCACTCTGAATATAGAGAACTGCAATTATTTCACATTGAAGTACGAAGTTTGCAGAAATGCTATTATGAACATATTTTAATAGATATGAATTAGATCAATGGGAAAGGTTAATTTAAAAGCTCTCTGAAAATTACTGAATACTATGAATAAAAAGAATATCTTATAAATAAAGCATAACATCCGTCTCCATATAAATGAAGCCCAGATTTTACCCACCTCCCGTATGACTTGCTGCAACTCGTTCTGCTCCACATTTCTATGCATTTCCTCTGAAGCTAGCATCGGGGGCAGTTTTTCAGGCCCTTCTTCCACTTCAGACTTAGGTCTTACAACCCGTGAGCCTTCTTCAGCTGCTTCAACTTCTTCAAAACTCTCCAGCTCTGGAGGCGTCTGCACAGAGCCTGTTCTAGAAGGAGCAGTTGGTGTTAGAGCCACTGATGCTCGGAATACTTTCTTTCTTGCCACAAAATGGGCTTTGTGTTTTCCCCCTGAGTCACCCGAAGGCACTCCAGTTCTTCTGTTAGCATGAGAGGGACCAGAACACACAGAAGATGACTCTGATGTTGCATGGGAGAAAACTGATTCTGAGCTTTCTCCAGGAGGGATTTCATATCCCATTTCTCCAAGTCCAAGGCCCAATTCAGACTTCAAGTATGACTGTTCTCGCATCAGTTCAGTGACCTGGATCAGAAAAATTGTTATTTTTCTCTCTCAATATTAAGGTTGGTTATTGAAGTTCAATTCCTAACTTATGACTGTTGTCAAAAATCACGAACTTGTAAAGATATAATTCTATTTCACTGATTTATTAATTAGTCAAACTGATTCACAAAGATCACAAGCTTAAATTCATGGCAAGCTCAAGCAATAAAATGGGCAACTAGAACATACAATGGGATGAAATTTTACTTGTAACCACACAGGTAAAGAAAAACAACATAGTTACTCATAATGCTTTGCATTCTAATAAAACAATTTGTCTAAAATATAATAAAAGTCAAATTTGTTCAAAAAGCAGTCATCTTACAGATCTAAAGAACTGATATCTAACTGGGAAAGCTTATTTCCCCTGGAGAATAAATATTTTTAATGGTGCATCATCTCCTTTAGGTCATACAGATAAGTCACTATTGCAATTAAGCTGGCTTTCTAGTGGATTAAGATGGCAATGGTCTTCAGAAGGAGAAAACTCACTTCCAATTAAATTTAACCAATTTATGAAATTCTATATTTAAAACAAACATACATTTCATCCGCCCTGGGAAACTGTGTGTTTATGAGACATAATGTCATTTCCCTTTCCCAATGACTTAAAAGGAGAGAGCTTACTGGTTCCATTACATTCAGCGGAGAAGGACATGACAAGTTATCAGCACTTCTACTGCCACACATCCCCTGAAAAGATAACAATATAGACATGCATATGTATGCATAAACTTCTCAAATTGTGTTTTATAAAATACCAAAAAGTACCACTTTATGTCACAAAGGTCACTCTCAACTGTTATGGAGTCTTATGAAATGTTATTGTAACTGAAAATCGACATCACCAAGATGCACAGAAGTTGATTTTCTGCTCCTACCATCATACATTTCAAAGAATGATGGATCAAAATAATTAGAAAAATACTCATTAATGATACATATTTCTGATTCTATGTTCTCTCTATATATGTACACACTCTTATTCTACTACTCAATGTATATGCATACATATGCGTATGTATGTACTTATTCTTTTTTTTTTTTTTTTGACACAAGGTCTTGTTAGGTTGTCCAGATCCTTGAACTCATATTTCTCTTGCCTCAACTTCCCAAGTACCTGGGATTACAGGTAAGTGCCACCATGTCCCACTCATTCATTTATTTTTAACAAAAATCAAACACATTGTCAACGTAAAAAGAATTCAAAACTTCGAAGAAACATATTTTACAACTTCAAAGGTATTGGTAAAAATAAATATGATGTTCAAGTTCAAATTTCATGGAAAGAAACATTAGAAATAATGAAAAGTGGCAAAGTGGCACAAAATAAAGACAGTAGCGTTTCTTTTTATTATCTTGGTTGCACACACATTTTCTATCAAAACACCTCACTTGATCCCTTAAAAAACATAACTAAGGGTAAGGGACATTAGGTTTCTCTCAGTGGAAGGGTATGTGCTTAGAATGTGGAGGCCCTGGGTTCACTCTCCAACAGCACAAAAGAGAGAAAAAAAATAATAATAAACATTAAAAAATTTAAAGAATGGAATAGAGTCTAAAATTAAGGAAAGACTCAACGATAAACAATTATTTATTTAAATGCAAGAGAAGGGACAAAAACTGAGTAAAATATATGTCAGTTCTTTGGAATTAATTATATGCAGTGATTCAAATTTAAATTAGTCATATTTTGATTCACCACAATTTTTTCTTCAACAAATCTAAACTTTTGCACTGCCCTTTATTTTTTGCTATTGTCAAAAATTATCATTAAAATTTTAAATGTTATTTTTAAATAAACTAATAATATAAGAAAATTATTACAACTTATACATGAAACTGATGTGTAGAAAAGTTCCTTAAACATTCTGCATGCTTCTAATGCCATTCAAGTAAACGGGTTAAAATGAAGGCATTTGTCCTAAATTTACATGGAACCTTATCAATAAAGCTAGTGAAAACTCCTGATAACCCCCTAGGCAGCGTACCACAAGTGCTGAGGAGCGGAAAGGAGAAGGCACCTGCACAGCCCGAAGCTGTTCATCCAGGCCCAGCAAGCGGTCCTCCAGCTGAAGCTCCAGGTCCTGAAGTTCCATTCGGACTGAATTTCTCAAACTCTGCAGTTGTTCAACTTCATACCTATCAGTATTGTGACAGGTATAAAGTTTGAAAAAGGTAGTTTGAAGGTTCCTATTTACAACCTTTTTTAAAAACTACTATAAGCTAACAGAAGGTACTCAATTCCAAGTTTTATAAATTCACATAACAACTATAAGAGGTGTAATCACTAGGACAATGGTTTTTGTTCCTCTATTTTCTCTCACAAATATCCTGCACACTGAGAAGCTGCTCACAACCAACCATCTTCCTTATACACTGAAGGTACAAAAGTTAACATTAATTATGTATGCCTAACTTTATCTATAGTGGTTCACAAAACAGTTACAGGGTATACAGCAGTGGAAATAAAGTCTCATTTTAAAAAAATATAAGTTACAAATGCTCCTTTGAATGAAAAAATCTTTTTTAAAAAATGAACTTTTACCTTTCCTCCTCAGTCATGTGGTGATAAACCATGGTTTGCTGACGCAGCATTGCCAACTCTAAATCCATCATTTGTGTTCTAAACAAATTCAGGCTCCGCCTCATTGTTTGAAGCTCCTGAAAAGTATTCTAAAATGCAATATGACAAAATTACACTTCTAGATCATAAAAATTATTTTGTAACACAATAACTTAGATGAGAACTTACTTCATAAAGAGGTAGAACAGATGATTTCTGAGTACTATATGGAGCAGCAGCAAAATCAGGTCCTCTCATCATAGGGTACTTCAAACAAACAAAAACAGGGTTAAAACCAATGCCAAAGAACCAACAAATTTTCTAAGGTAATAAGAAGGCAGAACTTAAGTCCTGTGTAATTTTTTTTTTTGAGGCAAAACCAAACAAAATAAAACTCTTCATATTGTAAGCAAGAACAATAATAACAACAACAAAAAAAAATCAGTCCCCAATGCTACCTAGTACTCTTAGCTACTCCAGGAATAAGTCAATATATTTGGAAGGCGAAAGAGGCAAAAGAGAAAATATAGCTCATATCTATTTTACAGGACTTCCTTCTTGCCTTGAGAAAGTAGAGAAGCAAAATTGAAAGTCAAAAAAGCAACTACAAATGTCATTATGGGATCACAGTAACTACTGACATGTCTGGAGGGAATAGCAAGTAACCATCAACTGTTAAACTTTTGAGCATCTGTTATATGAGACTATTTTAGGCAGTGGAGATAAAAGATACCCCATGCCCCAGCCTTCAAGTGTTCTTACACTATAAGAAAGAATAAAGAGAAGTTTAAATTTTTATTATAATCTTAGGATGGGTGTGCTACAATGGACACAAACAAAAATTCACAAATTCACATTAGGTTAAGTTTTGTTAACCATGGTTAACACCTGAGCTGAGCTTTAACAGTAAATGGGACTTGGTCATGCAAAGAAACCCAAGGGAAGAGCATTCAAGATTAAACCACCAAACAAACCACAAAAAAAAAAAAAAAAAAAAAAACACAAACAAAAAACAAAACACAAAATGGCACGTGCAGATCCCTAAGAATGCACAACTACTGAGAGCCCTGCATGCAGGCCAATGTGGCAGGAGCACACACTTAAGCAAGGAGACTGGATAAAGTGTTTATCTAGTGGGGTGAGAGAGGGGTGGGGAAACTGATGCACTCCATCACTGAAGGGTCATCCAAGAGGAAGACCACACAGCTAGAGCAGACAAACTTGCACCTGGAAAGGTGTACCACGGAGGTATAGGTGGACAGGTCCCTGGAAATCCCCAGCTTCACAATAATTACAACGAAAAGCTTAAGCATCTCAATCATAGACAGAACCAGGTTTTGTAAAGAAGAAACACCCACATTCTGGTTAGAGTGCAAACCCAGGAGACAACTGTCATTGAGATAAAACCTATATTGCAAAGGTGTATCTTTTTACATCTTAAAATTACAACACTGATTTTACTTTTCAAGGGGCTTCCTAATACTATTTTCATGAAGATAAGAGATGACATGCATTCTAAATTCACATTACCTGATTTTTGGGGTTTTTTTTGTTTATTCTCTTTTGGAGGAGTTCCAGTCTTTGAACCCAGTGGAAGTAGACTAATTCTGTGCCAGGAGAGCAGCATCAGGGATCAGTAGTGAAGGGAAAACTTAGAGAGCTATGAGTGGAACCAGCAGAAGACGGTGCCAACTGAACCAACATGAAGAAACTTAGAAAAGGAAGAGGTGGTCAAAACATCCAAATGGCAGAGAAAAGGAGAGAAAGGATTTTGACAGGGAAGACTTCTTAAATAACTGGGACAACTGAAAGTTTCTAGACCAAGAAAAAGACAACGGAAGAAAAGCTGAAAAAGGGAGGATATCTATAGAGCTAAATCTCTCCTCTAGGAAAGGAAGGAGATTCTAAGCAGAGAAATTAACTTATTCAGGATTAGTTTTCACTTTTCCCATGAAACAGAAGGGAAGACTATAGGATGCAGTTGAAGCGTGTGAAATTATACAGCTAAGGTACTTATATCTGATGGGTATTAGCTTCTCAGTGAACTAAGATATGCTCAGAGCAATAAAATATAAAATTCAGAAAACCTTTTTCTCCTACCTGTGAAAGATTCTGAAGTGAGTTTCTAATATCATGCAACACTCTTCGCAACTGCATTTCTATGGCAGAAGGAGGATTCACAGAGCATGCTCGGTAAGGGTAAGCAGCATGTCTGTGTGAGTAAGGACACCCAAAAGGGGAGGGGAAGGCACTGCAGGTGGCACCTGAGATGTTAGGAACACTGTGTGTGCTCAGAGTTCTCATGTGCTCACACAGGGGCCTTTCCTGCCACTCAGAGTGGACAGAGTGAAGGGAGCAGGTGGACTGAGATATCTGTGCAGGAGTCCTTCCATGATGGCATTCTTCCAAATGGGTCACCTCACTCTGGTTGGCTTCTTCTTTCTTCACAGATGATGGAGAGATGAAAATGGTGGATTTAACCAATGACTGATGGTCATGCTCAGTCACCCCTTTTTCCACTTCCTGTTCCTCTTCAGGTGTATATTTATAGGTGAAGGAAGGTGGGCTGCATCTGGTTTCTTTCCCTGGAGACAAACGAACGTTGACAGAAGACACAACCCTCACTGGGCTCAATAAAGTTGTCGGTAAAGACTGAGACCTTCTTAGAGGATAGCCAGCTTTGGTAAGCAAGTACCTTTGTTTTAACAGATCTTTTGATTTTATCAGGCTACGCCCTACTCTTTGACCTGACAGAGTACACACCTTCATTCGAGCTCTTTGCAAAGCTGTATTAACTCTGTCCACAGAAGAAGGAGGCCCCATTGTACTTTCCGAGCTCAGATCACTGCATTTAGCTTCAATGGAAGCCAACGATTTCAGAATATGATGTGTGGTGTACTGGGTAAATTCACATTCGCTGCTTTTATCCACATCACTTTTTTTATCCACATCACTTTCACCACTTGTTTCCCTCATCAGCTCTACTGTCTGTGCTGGAGACAAACCCTCTTCTATTTTGGTACTTTGAGTAACGTGATCCTCTGGACTACAGGTAGACTGCTTATTTCCTGTATTCTCAACAGTCCCACATTCAGCAACCGTTGCTGCCTTGGCTCTTCCTTCCTTCTGACGAGGGGTAAGAAATTCCTCCTCTGATTCATTGAAATAAGGTTGGTCTTGTGCTGTTGGTGTAACAAGGTCTTCACCAAATGATGTGACTGTTGTCTCACTGTCACAACTATCAGCACTACTCCCCATGGCTTGCAGGGACTCATGAACCTGTGAAAGGAAAACAGGTGGGAAGATGAAAAAATAAAATTAAGAGGTATTACATACAAAATACCAAACAGAAACCATGCACCTATACTTCTATGGTCTCCCACCTTGGCTGTGCCCCTGGCCCTGTTCCAAAATATTTGTACTGCTGTTGATCAGCAACTGAAATCCTTTCCCCTTAACTCCCACTTTTTCACGATGATTATTTCAAATCTTCACTATTTTTCTTAAAGAATCTTGCCAACACCCTCCTTCTTTACTTCCAAAATAATACTGACTCACCGAAAAAACAATAGAAATTTCTTCACATTGTTCCCCAATACCATTGACAAGTTTTCCTGCCCATCATTCCTTCCTTTACTCCATTCTGAAAAGAAATTGTGCACCTTTGTTCAAGACTAATCCCTCCAACCTGTACTTCTAATCACATTCTCGCCAGGATCAGGGTATTCCTCCATTGTTTCATCCCAGACTTTGGCTACTCCCTTAGCTGAACAACTTCCCTAAGTCATTCATTCCTGCACAAAAAGACAAAATGACCTCTCGCTCAAACTGGCAAAAACAGTCCACATTCCCATTTTCTCGTCCTCACCAAGGATTTATTCTCCAGTCATGCTTTGGCTTCATTTACACCAAAAGAACCACTCTCTCCAACATAAGTCTCCTAGTAGCTATGATCTTGCCTTCTCACTCTGGATGGCCCTAACTTCCTTTTTCAAAGTCTTCCCTCCATCTCCCAATTTTTCTGTCTATTGATTATTCTTTCTGAGTCTCTATAGACATATCTCTTTTCTGTCTAACTTTTAGATCCTAGGACTATAGAGTCTTTGGGAGTTATCCTTTTCTTGTTTCAATTTTAACACTGTTTAAAGATATTTTACATAAATCTTAAAGAAAGATCCTTTTCCTGGACTTTTTGTGACTTCACATACAGACTAAAAGCTCAGATAAAAATGTGCCTTTTTTTCTGGTTTATCTAATACAGCCTTGCATAAAAAGTCGGTATAATATCAGCAAGCCATGGATCCACACTTCATGTGAGCCATCAAGCAAAACAATTTTTGTAAAATACTGAAACACCATGATGATGAAAAATAATGGACTAAGCAGATAATGATCAAAATAATCTGTTTTCTGGTGCTCCAAAAGTTAAGAAGGAGAAGACTTTGTTTGATTTTAATATTCTGTCAGAGATGAAGCATTAGTGAAATCTGATATTTATAGTGAAGTGCTTAGATAACATCTATATCACAGAAGTTTTAGTCTTGTTATTATTTGAAAACAACGATTAGGACAGATTCAGTCTTGAATATACACCAACTGAAAAATCAGTTTAAAAAGAAGAGTCTAATCACAGTACCTATTACAATAGAAAATTTTACCTGAAGATGATTTAGGGAGAGACCGTCTGTGGAATCTTCAGCAAAACCACTGCTATCAGAATGCTGACTTGCAGTACGTAGCAGATGATCTGTCAGCAAAAGTGAAGTGATGTAAAACCATTAATAAAAAAAGGCTTCAATGAAAGTGATTTGATTATAGATAAGATTCCCAACAGATAGAAGACACACAACACTGATTCCTTCTTGGAAAAGCATGCATTACTTATGCAAAAATTGTGGCTTCAAAGCACAGGAGATAACTGAAGTTCAAACAAAAACTGAATCAGATTTTCTACTAGAAACTCTCTCTATTCAGTTACTAATTAAGTTCTAATTGTAATGTATTTGGGTAAATCCAATTAATGTCTTATCCTTAGAGTAAAATTGGCTGAAATAAAAGATGGTTCTAAGATGGTTCTAACACATGCATAAGTCCCCAAATAAACCATTTACATTATGCAAATATGTAGATATTTAGGAAGTAAAATTAGAAGTTTAAATATAGAACATTTTTAAAACATCTATATCTTCCTAATAAGAACACAGTTAAAACCAATTAAATAAAACAATTTGAAATGCAAGCATACTTAAAGTATCTCCAATGTTTTAAATCATGCAAAGATTTTAAAGTCATGAAGCAATTCTTTCATAACAATTGCATGTAACTTAGTCAAATATATTCAACTAGTATATTATATTGCTAATTATATAAAGTCCTTCTATTTATTTATTTTTTTGCAGAAAAGTCTAATTCCTTGTAACCTAAAAAATGTTTTAAGTAAGTAAAAAGGTCAACTAAGTACAGCAAGCATGATCACATTCCATCCATCACATTTACTAAGGTGACACTTCATGAGACAACATGGTTCCACAGAACTTCAAAAGCAGGCTAAATAAAGTGAGTTTACCAAATCCACAACCATTTAAGACCTGAACCATATAGGGAAACAACTGAATAATGAGACTGTATAAAATCTAAAAGTTCCTTGATATCCCTCCCACTTTAGCTTCAGGTTTCATGGAATAGAATAATTTTTCCCCATTAAAAATTTAGAATAATTCTATAATATTGTTTTGATAGTAATAAAGCTGCATAACGAAATGCAAGAAATTATTCCATATCCTTGATAAATCTAAGAAGACTGAAATAATTGTAAAAACTGAATTGTAATGGGCTGTTATCATCAGTACTAATTAGGCACTGTATTAATTAGAAAATGACTGATACCTTGTGGCATAGCAGTTTATTCCCCTAATTATGTGTTTCCATGTCTTTTGTTTTTTAAACTAGATAGTGAGCCTCTGAAGGCAAGAATGTTACTGATTCTTCATATTCCAGTACCTAGAACAATCTATAATAAATGTGTGCTGAATGAATCAATGATAAATATTTCATTAAAGCAACAACAGAATTAAGCAGTCACATAAATGATTTAGAAGTGAAAGTGTCAAATCTTGTTAAAGCAAAGAGCATTGCCACAGGGCTCAGGGAAGCCAAAATAACCAGTGCTGACTCAGGTTCTCCCAGCTAAGATCTGTTTAATCTGTAGCAGAGTAAGGTCTGCACCCAGTTCCCCTCAAGGTTGTGGAGCCCTGTTATGAGGCTCACATGTCACCTCCTAATTATACTGGTTGGGCTCTAGAGGAGGTGTCTGTCCATCTCGAAAAGAACAAGGAGGCTCCAGTGAAAGTTTCTGCTTTGTTTCACCACTGTAAGCAATAATTTCTCTCCTCTACAAATGGGATAATAATAGTTCTGCCACCTCACAGGACTACTTCAGGAGCTAAGTAGAATGTAAGTGAAACTGTTTCATACTATAAATCACCATCTAGGTTACTTTAGGCATTTCTGTTTCAAAAAAAAAACAGAGTTCTCCACAGACAAAAAGAGAATTAAGGATTAAACTTCTGTCCTGAAGATATATTACTAATTTAAACCAGGAAGTTAGAGAAAACATTAAAATGGGGGGGGGGGAACTTGGACACTACATTTGTCCCATATCATACAGAAACAAAACAGAAAACCTGTATATTCTCTGCTAAACTAAGGAAAATATTGTGTATCTTTTCTAAGAAGAAAATGTGGAACTTCTCTCAACACATCTACCAAATGTTAGCTTGTGACATAAGTCACTAAACCTTTCTAGTCCATTCACAGTGTGTAAATGCCAGACTGGATTTAAGATTAGGATAGTTTTAACTTCAAAAGTCCTACTAGTAACCTGGTATGTACAATTTTATTAACTTGTGAAATGAATATATTATCAGTGATTCCAATTCTGTAATTATGATTAATCTAAGATACTTATATACCACGTTAACAAAACTTGATAATCTACCTTTCGAATGACTAACATACCATTATTCCCACTGCTCATTCACAAAACCATTTTTAAATTGTAAAAGTCTGATTAAAACAGTAACATTTTTGCTTATGACACCAGAAATAAGAGACCCAGAATTGTTAAGAGGAAGAAGTACAGATCTTAGTAGAAATCATGTTCCATCTTTCCCACCACCTAGAGCTTGCTCTTGAAACAATTTTTTTTTTTTTTTTACTCTCCTTGTGACACATGGCAAGCTGCTTTTTCTAATGTGTCTCTTGTCTATCCATCTAAAGCACAGACTTCCTGAATGTGGTGAATTCCTCCTTGCCGTTCAGAAACACATATATACATTTATAAACTGAAAAAGGGATGAAATTTAAATAGGAAAGTTCTTTTTGTTTCTGGCTAGAACTATAGTAACCTATCGACAGTGGAGCTCTTTTCCTTAGTACCATAATGAAGTAAAAGAAAAATATCACATGCGAATTGTCTCTTAAGAAATAATTTCAGAGATTAGAAGGAAAAACATGTAATTTCCTATTCTTAGAACATATCTTTGTTTTTTTAAAAAACAAACAGGGTGGTTCAGCATGTGTAAAGTTTTAAAAATAAATAGTCCTACCTTTAGTGGTCAATTAAACTTCTTCCTCTCTCTCTCCCTAAATTTCAAAAGCTTTGTAAATTTAAAACCAGACATCTTTTTCTAGTTGCAAGTTAAAAGTGAAAGGAATGGATTCAAAGGTTCTTTGGTCAATAATTAATTATTCACAAGAAGAACAGTGTTTATAACCTCTCACCTTTGATCCATAGTTTGAATTTAACTAGGTTTAATTATTGCTAAGAGATTGATCTTTTTTGCCAGAGGTATATCCCATGTACTATGGTTAGGAGCCATATTTGAATGGAAATTAGAAACAGATAATCCAAGCACATTTTTTAATTACAACAATGTAAAAAGTAGCCCTAAATCTGTTGCTTTCAGTTACTTTCCACTGAATTCTTGTGCAGAACTGAAAAAATATTTAGAGTACACAGAAATGTGTAATGAGGTCATTACAGGATCAGCAAACTAATAGTAGTTCAGAGTATAAAAATCTTCAAGAAAATAACAAAAAAATATATAACCAAGTGATAGTGAAGCATGTCTACCTGTGTTTTGGATCTTTTTACCCTTATTGCTACTATACACAGAGAGAGGTAAAACACCTTTTCCAGATCAACTGACAACACTTTGGTAACATGTGCAGGAACTACTGATTATCAGTTTACTTACCTCTTTTGGACTTGGTGAGACCCAGCTGATAAGTGGCCGGGATGTGAGGAGCTTCTCCCTCTGTACTCTGAACCTAAAAAGAATTTTAAGTAGTTCAAACTAAATGAACTTATAGCAAAAAGAATAATCTCTTGATAACCATTTATTAAATAAATCAACCTAAGGTACATTAATACATTACATACTTCAGAGACATCATTTTATCTCAAAATTTTTAGAAAGACCCACAACTTATTTTTTAATCTAGTTTCCAGTTAAAAATAGCACTCAACTTTTTAGCTAATGAGGAGAAATAACTGCATGTATAAATGATTTTTTTCTAGAAGTTGCTATTAATATTAGATGAAAAATAGAGCATATGAGAAAGTTCTCTAAATATTAAACCTCAAAGTAGAATCAATTCCAGGAAGGATGCTAATATACTCACTGCAGCAGGCTCTGACTGACACACAGTTGAGGTAGTTTACAAGTCTTGGATCTTTAAAAATGGAATATCATGCTCCCATGATAAAATTTTCTAAAGTCCCACAAATTTCTGTTATCAAGTGTCACTCATGTGTAAGACTTCTCTGTTCTGATATGAATGTTCTTTTAATATCCTGGAAGTTGTATGTCCCTAAAAATTCTATTGAAAGGAAATATCAAATCTACAAAAGTTGTCTTCTGTTGTCTTTGTATAACTGTAAACTACATCACTTAGGAATTTTCAGATCCCTAGTTGCCTTCCACATCCCACTAATACTCTTATCTATTTTAACACAACTCTAAATCAAGAGGAAACATTTGAAAGAGGGGAAGGTATGCTAATTTCCATGATGTTACCCTATTATGATCAATATTTAAAGAGTAAATAACACCCCAGTAAGATGAGAAAACTAACCACAAACATGGGGTTTTCAACCTTGAACACTTTAACAGATTAGACAACAAACATCAATCAGGTTCTAAAGAGAACTCTGCTAAGTTTTTTACTATAAAACTATTTAAAATATTCCATATGAAGAAAAGTGAAAAAGCTGACATGAAAACAAACCCAAAGATTAAAGAAATCATTACCAAATTTAAAATTGCTTTGATTTATAATATCTTTGTTCTACATAGTTTCATGAACTCAAGTCTGTGAATGTTTTTTTCTTTCATGTTTATTTTTTGTGAATTCAACTCTTATATCTTTATTTTATTTTTTTCCAGTATGTTGATAGAACCCAGGCCCCTGCATATAATAAGCAAATATTCTACCACTGTGCTATATCCCAGCTCATATTAATCTTTTTATCATGTGGTATTGGAGATCAAACCCAGGGCCTCTCATATGTTACCAGTCTAAATCTTTTAGAAACCAAAAGCATACTGGTCATATAAAACCATCATCTGTAAATAAATTATATAAAATAAGTTCTAACATTCTTTGCTATTATTTACAATTATAATATATTACTCAAAGTAGTGGACAAAGGTTCAACAGGAAAACCATTGTTTTATGTGCAAGGGAACAAAATGCATTTTTTTCTTTGTATAGTCAACAAAAGACCTATTATTAGCTATTATTCAGGCATAGCTTACTTCAAAGAGTTTTCTATAAAATAAGTATCAATCAGATCAAAAAGTATAAGAGACAGCCAAGTGACTATATTCTAAGAAACTTGGCTTAGACATAGACTATATAATTATAACCTCTCACTTTTAAATGTAGAATTATCACATATTCTATTTCCCTAGACTTATAAAATTAATCACAAAATAATATGACTTTAATGAATATGTTTCTTCAGTGTTCTATCCTTCAAAATGCTGCATTAGGCAAAGAATCTACTCTCCCTTCTTTCATTACAAAGTCCTTCATTAACTGTACAAAAGGGGCATTAAAAAGCAAGATGAGAGGGTCATATTTTACTAATAAAACTACTAAAGCCAGGATTATTATTCTCACTTGGCAAAATCATAGTACACAGTTGTTGAGCCAAGAAAGACATGCTAGTGATAGTGGGAGAATTTCTTAGCTTATCATGTTTTATTGCTGGTTATAATTATGCAAAAGAAAGCAGTCAAACTTGAGATGGGTATTCTACAAAAAATTATGATACAAATATAGAACCAAGATGCATATGACAGGCTTTTGCCTATTTGATGGCCGCAAATACTCAGTAGAACGCTGATCATTTGTTACAGCTGGCCTTTCATTTAACTGATAGGAATGACCAAATATGGGTGTTCATTGTACTATTTCTCTAATTTAGGTTGTGAAATTTTTCATTTAAAAATGGAGAGAAAAAAATCCCTACTAAACCAAAATGCTAAAATTGCTTGGTTTCTGCATTTTGGAATTTACAGATGATGAAAACAGCTTTAGAATAACTCACACATTTGGGTTACTTCAAAGACCACAGCTTTCTGAATCAGTGTTCCAATATGATAGGCACTTACTTTGGTTTCTTAACAACTATTCTGTTTATCTTGACTAAGATGCATCTTCTAGGTACAATACTACTATATAATGTGTCCTACAGGACAGCAATGTGGGATGTTCAAATTCAAACAGCCCTTCCTCTAGGGTTTAAAGAGATAGTTATAGCAGCTCTTTTCTTGTTTATAATTTTGAAAGAAAATCAAAGTTAAACGCTTTAGAAAATATAACTATTTAGTTTTTAATCTCAAAAAGAGTGTAAAAAAAAAAAAAAGCACTGTTTTTCCAAACAAGTGGTAAGGGGCTATGCATCAGATGACTTGAGTTCTTGTTCAACATCTGACCCTATCAACCAATCTGACACACAGATAATTGCATGGGGTAGTTAAAAGTAGCCAGTCTGTTGAAAAACTGAATTCAAGTCTCATTAATGCCATTTCTTTTATCTGTGGTAATTACCAGTTTTCTTGATTGTAAAATAAAGATGAAAATTCTCACATCACAGGTCCTTAGGTTGATCAAATGTGACTATAAGTGAAAGTACTCTGAAACACTAAATTAGTAAAGCTGTATGACAGGTAATTCCTTTCTTCCATTGTCCACTGGCAGGCACCCCTGCCCACCCCCTGCCTTTTCCCATCATGTACTGATACAGAAGGGAATATTACATCTCTTAGAAAGGTGGGAGAACTACTGCTGTAAAGCAATATCAAATGCTACAGGGCATGGGGAACAAACTCCTCATCTATAAAGGGAGAAAACTGGAAAATAAATTCACAGATGTCTTTCTGCGTTCATCTATGATTCTACAATTACTTGTGGATTTTTATCTTAAGTAAGGCTCTCAAATTTTACAACACATATGTGCATACACTCACAGAAAGAGCTTATTGTTACTGTGAGGTAAATACTTTTTTAAAGTTAACAAGATATTTTAGATAAAGAACAAGTAACAAAAAACTCAGTGGTTACTTGAGTTTTGAAGGACAGACATCTGTGCAGATGTCATGTGTTAAGAGTTCATATTCTTATTTAAAAAAAAAGTTAAGAAAGTCAAAGGGACAACTTAACTATTTTTCAAATACCTGATTGATTTGGAATAATTTTAATTTAGACCAACAAAGCAATTTTAAAAATCCTAAAATTTAGCAGCTAAAAATAATGAGGTATGTTATTTAAATAAGCAATCAATATGAGCATTACAGTTACTAAAACTTCAGTAACTTAAAAAAAAAAAAAAGACAAGACGGCATATACTCCCAATGATGGTTATATTTAAATAGAAGCTCATTTGCAGAGTAGGACACCCATATGATATACTGTTTACAGAAATTTACAGATGAAAGTTTGCCTTTTCTTACACACAGAAGTTTTTCTCTTATACCTAAAAATCGAACAACTGCTTATTAGGTAGGATCACTTTGATTTAACTGTGAATCGGTCATACTACTAATCTATGATTCTGGAGGACTACCATGATGTGTTCAAAATAAGCCATCAGGAAGAACACAAGAAATGTCCAATCAATTTAATAAAAATTAGAAAACTCTCCCAAGTATCACAAGGAAAAGAAAAGCAAAAGTTAGAAAACTGAAAAGTAGCATTTTGGACACACTATAACATTTTATAAAACAAGTTGACTTTTCACTGAAAATAGTCTCTAACCTTTTTTTCCTTTTTCTTTTCTTTCTTTCTTCTTAATATCTATCTATCTATCTAAATAGATAGATATGAATGAAACAGCTACTTTCATTCTCCTAGGTCTAGATCAGTACTGTTATCTAATTAGCTCTCTTCACATTTAAGTTTCTCCTCCCTCTGGTCCTGGTGACTATCAGGTCTTGTCAAGTCTTACCTCCTTTCTCCAGCTTTATGCACACAGCCACATCTGAAATACTTTCTTCTAGCGTCCCAAAGCAGCTGCTATTGGGATAATCTGAAATCTGAGTACTGGCTTACTGGGGGAAAGAGAGTGCTAACTTATGTTTTCTTGCCTCTTGTACAGGAAGAAAGTTCACAACAGGAATCAAACTTCAACTAAAGAGTCTGAAGGAAAATTGTTACAAACTACGTTGAATGGGATCTAAATGTTTGCTTCAATAAGATTGTTCTCTTCATCTGTCAATATGAGTCAATCATGCTTAAGAGGAAATTAAAATAACACATTATTTCCCTTCTTTATCCATTGTTCTACAAGCTTTCTTTAAGGTTCCCAAAGGGATAAAAACACAATTCTAGGAGGTTTGTATCCATATTTTAAATATATCTGAATAACAAGGAATCAGTGTCCTTAAATTTCTCCCTATTTACAATGTAGCTATGGTTGACCAAATTTAAAAAAAAAAAAAATCTTTCATTGTCTTCAACTACCAATACATGTAATCTTGTACTTAAAAAAAAAAAAAAAATCCACATTACTTTTTTCATTAACTGTTTTAGCCAGCAGAGGGAGCAAAAAAAAAAAAAAAGTCTATCATTAAAAGTTGTCATCAAAGTGCATCTAGCACTTTATAAATGTTTAAAAGACATTTTGTGTATGCTATTTTAAAATTTTATAGTTTAGATTCGGTAATTCTAGAAATTAAAAAGAACTTATTGGCTTATATGAAAATACCCATGTAAGAGTATTATTGTTCCATCTGAGTCATCATGTCAAACTTCCAACTATCTAAGATTTTATATAGAGTTTTATATTCTGTTATTGTATTAAAATGAGGAAACTATCTGTCACATCTAATTATCACAGAAGAGGGACCCTAATGGAAGACAAGAAGTTACACTTTAATTATGAATCCTAGGACAAGTTTAGATCAAAACAAAGTCAAAAAGGAATCAGTGAAATAAAAGGTTTCAATGCACCGATCATAATCATATTCCATACTCATTGTAATGAGAAATGAATTATGTTAGGAATTAAAGAAACAGAAAATATAAGAAGAAATAAATGGAAAGTAGCTTATAAGAAAATGTAAAATACTCCAAAGGACTTCTCCTGTTCCCTTTAAATTTCACTTTTTAGCTGTAATAAAAGTATCAAAAAACATATGTAATAAAAGTATCAAAAAACATTCAATGACCACAAAAATGGTACATAATCACATCAGCAGTTGAAATTTTGAAATAAATGAAAAATCTTCACTAATGTGAGAGATACATATTTACCTAAGAGGATATGTATGGGCAGAATCAATTATCCTATTTTCCAATTCCCTAAAATAATGACATGTGATTCTAAAACTACTGGGAACAATCACTAAAATGAATTTCATAATAAATTTTCAAAAAGAAAAATAGCACTTATTCCTTCAGTGCAACTTATAGCTGAAGCTCTTCACCAGCATACATATGCCTCAGTTCCCTCGTGTGTAACATAAGATCGCCACTGTACCTGCCAGACTGAGAAATACAGTTCTTTAAAGGCTAACCAAGTACAGTGCCTCCCACAAGGTGGGTAGCTGAACAATTACATTTTCCTGCCCCTGGCTATACAGCTCCAACTCATAAGTATCAGTTTCTACCTTTCAAAAGGAGTTTTAGCCAAACTTCATCAAAATGAATAATTTTTACCTTGTTCAACTGCAAATTTATGTTAACCAGCAGGAATATCACTAAGTAGAAATAAAAAAGTCACTGCATGTTGGTCTCTCTCACTTGCAGAAACCCTACTAAGTGGCCTTTCAAAGCCTAGAGGATCCTTATGCCCCGTTCAGGTGTACAAGACCTTCACCAACACTTAGCCTCCTTCACACCTACCCTTACTACTACTGAGATGCCTCAAGAAAAGATCGAACAAAGACAAGGCAAGCAGTGGCAGAGACAGAACTCAAAGCCCTGCTTGATTTCAAAGCCCCTGTTTTTAACTATTATGCAATACTGATTTGAATTTGAATAAGTTCTCTCAGAGCTTTCTTGGGCATCAACATCTTGCATGAAAGTGAAAAGGGGGTTTCAGATCAGATATCCCCTAGTGAATGACAGAAAAGCTAGATGCCTGATGAGCTAGCCCACTGCTTCAATGTCACATAGTTCTGTAACTCTTGGTTTGTGAAACATAAACCTACAAAGTCAACTTTAGTATAATTTTTTTTAGCATGAATCTATTAGCTACTTCTAATTTCACACATATTTTTTGGCTTTTTTCCCCCTAGATTAGTATTTAAAACTGGTCGCAGGGGCTTGGGCTATAGCTCAGTGGCACAGCACTTGTCTAGCACTTGTCTAGCACGTGTGAGACACTGGGTTTGATCCTTTACACCACATAAAAAATAAAATAAAATAAACAAATAAAATGAAGGAGTGCTATCCATCTACAATTACAGAAAAAAAAATTTAATTAAAAATAAAAAAAAAAACTGGTCTCGGTAAGTTTTTTTTTTTTTTTTTTTAACCTACCTCTTCCATTTCAAAGGAGTCCTTCTGTTGTGTCATTATATTTCTTATGGATGGGATTGTCAATGGTGCACAAGGCTCTTTTTCAAGTGCAGACGTGGGGACATTTTTCAGCTCACTGCTGTTTTCTAACTCACTGTGGCGGGACATTTCTACAACAGACTCCTCAGGCAATTTACTCTCATGACTTTGAGTCTCTTTACTCTGTTCACTTTCAGTTTTTTGGTTAAAATATTTACTATTTGCTTCATCAGAAAGTCTGTCAGTGTCAGCATTCTCCAAAACTACTGCAGAAACACCTGAAGCTTCTTCTTTAACAGTAGCCAACATAGAAGATGAGTCTTTCTTCTTTACAACTTTTTGAGATTTCTGATCATTTTTATTGCCACTTTCTTCGATCACTGAAACATTTGGAATCTTTCCTTTTTCAATAGCTGGGGAAGAACTGCTACCTTCTCCTTTCTCTGTTTTATCAACACATAAATTCAGTTTTGATAGTGTTTTCATTAAACGATTTGCAGTGTTACTTCGAGTCAAAGGTGGAGGCGAGTCTGTCTCCTTGTTAGAGGTCACTGAGGACATACTTCCAATTCTCTGAAGGGGAGTCCCAGAGACTTGGGAATATAAAGAAGAAAACGCATTGGCCACAGTAGTAAGCACTTCAATTTGACGAAAGCGGCCTACAAAAAGAAAAAATAATTATTTATATTTTTTGGTTTTGAATACAAATTATTAAACATATAGTGTTGTTTAGAATTCTAGTAACTGAACTTACATAAAAAATATTATACAATCATATTTTTTCCTTCTCTAACATTTTAACCTTTTCTCATTACTGGGTAGGGAGAAAGAGGAAGATTTTTACTTTAAAACACCAGAATTTACATTTTTAAATACAAATCAGAAATAAGCACAAAGTATGATGGCAATACTGAATAAAATACAACTAGCTATTGATCTACAGTGTGATTCATTTTATGTCTTAGATGATTAAGATTATTCCAAATGCTTTCCTAAAGTTAAAATGCAAACAAGTATACATTTTAGACCTAATGGGGATGGATTTAGAGGTCTTAGAATTCTAAACCACCTAGAGAATCCTGTTTCTGAACCACTAATCAACAAAGAAAAAATAAACAAACATGTAAAATGGTCAAATTGGTCATGCTACTTTAGATTTACAGAGAAACACCTGAAATTGACTGACTGACTTCATTTAATACTACAAGTCTACTACCCTACTTCTTTCCTTCTTGACATATGTAATGTGGAGATAGCACAAGGTCAAGAAAGTATGGTAGCACTGAAGTGAGTCAAGAACTGGGGAAATGAGCAAGAATAGCTAATTTAACTTCTATCAACAGATTAATAAAAATCTAGATTAAATAAAATAGCAAATGTTAACAAACCCTATTAATTAACTCTCCAGTGCTATTCCTAAAAATTAGTAAGCCTTTAAAAAAAAAAGACCACCTTGCTATATAGATGCTATGATTTTAACAAATAATATCCTAATGCTTAAAAACCTTACTTGTTAAAGCATAATTTGGGTTTTCTACTTCCATCCGTTGCATTTGAGCACTCAAAAATACTTTAATATCTATCCCTCTTGCAAATGATGAAGAATTAAAAAATCTGGAAGGAATTTTAGAAGCAATATCTGGTTCATCTCGTCCAAATCCAAGATTATAAAGAATTTCTTCAGGATCTTCCTCATAAAGTTCCAATAATTCTGAAACACTATAATAAAAAAAATAAATATAAATTTATACTCCACATCACATTATATATGAATTTATATTCTTGCTTTCCTGTGATAAAATCATTTTATCAGCTTCTGCTCTTTAAACTATTATTTGGGATGTACAGCCCTTAGAAAGAATCCATTCTCTCAGCCTGACAGTGTTGGGGGGAAAAAAAGAGCTAATCCCTAAGAACACAGAGACTCTCTAAGGATTTCTCACCTTATTTTTCCTGTCATCTTAAGAGACACCCAGTAAAGCAATTAAAATAACCAAAGGACAGATGAGGTAGAAAAAGGATTAAGACATAAGTAACAAAAATGGAAAAACACACAAGGAAGTTGGTAGAACTTTGATACTGAGGAACATGCTGCAAAACCTGAGTGTTCCTAGGAGAGGCAATAAAGGTAACAACCTGATCTCAAAGACAGGGAGGAGGAGCTTCCTTTAAACTCTTCTCTCAACAGGTCCTCTCAGGAAGTAGGAGGAGTAAGGTAGGGGAAACAAGTTATGTACAAAGGTAACTTCTTGCCCTGATTCTTTGAGAATTAAACTTTTATTATCCTTCCCTCACACACCAGTGATAATCCAAGTTAAAAATCACTGAAAAAAACCCCAGAAAAATTACAGATAGAACTTGAACAGGAAGACAACTGAATCTATTTCAGAGAAATGCTCAGATTGCAATACCAAATTTTGTATGTTTAAACTGATTCCATAGGGCCATGCATGGGCTCATTTGAATATATATTTCAAAGGGTTTTGATTTAATATTTGGAAGAGAAATTCATTCTTAAATATCAAGCTTTAAATCAGAAAGGTTTATTCTGATTTTTATGTTAGAGTTAACTCAAAGTCCTTAACAAAATGGGGAATTTTGGTTCTCTACGATTAAAAGTTACTTCTCTGTGCAGTTTATTTTTCTGTTTGACAGGACTCAAAGTATTTATTTACTAATGGATTCCAGCAACATTATAAACATTATTGGTTGCTTTTTATTTAATCTCAGCTTGTTACAAAAGAATGTATTGCCAGTTATACCAGTCCAGGAAACACTTCTGGTTCCTTCTGATTTCATTCTATTAAGGTCAAATCTCAGATTGAAAAACTGACCAGCAGCTCACTATTACCCAGTGTTACCCCCCACCAACAACTTCAGAATGAGTTACCTTGAGACTGTCCCACTGCTTTTCCCAGACCCAGTAGAATTCATACTTCTCCCTTTCTGATGAAACTGAAGTCTTCTCTCTTTGGCCAAGATATTACTGCTAGAAACATAATATAATAATATAAAACTTTATTTTCACTAATGTTCTTCATTTTAAAACGGAACAAAACAAGATAGCTACATACCCGTTTTCAATTTGAGCATCACTTTCATGGAGGTGGTTGGCTATAGATAAAGAACAAATGTACAGCACACTTATTAGAAGGACTGTAATGATGATAACACAATTATCAAGAAACAAATTATCTACAATATTATAGCTAAATGCCAAATATGTCAAAGTCTCTTCTTGGCTCATTAAATCTGCATCATTAAAAGTAATACACAGATAAGAACAGGACCAGCAGCTTTGATAGGTTGTTTTCATTTTTTGGCAACCATAAATCTTGATTGCTAAAAATAAAAAGAACTATGAATAACCAATTAAATTTCTTTAACAGGTTAGAAAAATGTACTGAAGAAGATATGCATATTATGTAGCCTATGTAGTGCTATTAAGTTTAAAATCTGTTAATGAAAAGTACCTTAAGAACAACACGTTTTAGCATTATTTAATGTATCAATAGTATTCATCTATTTCTAATGTGTTTTTAAGTTACATAATTTTTCATACACACAACCTGAAAATTTCTACTCATCTCAGTACAAATATTCTTTTAAAAATTGCCTTTTAACTATGCTCTAGATTAACAAGGTCTAAACATATTAATGTTAATTTTTACAATAAAATTTACTTCATTAACCTTAATGGGCAAATATAAAGAATGAGATTAATTAGAAACTATTTCAGCACACTTAAAATTTTTTTTCATTTCTGATCCACAAGATCATGACAATTTGTTTCTTTGAACATATGTCAGAATGGCACCTGACACACAGCACTTAGTAAATGTTTATTCAAGGAATGAAAAATACCCTCAAAGTAATTTTGAGGAAAACAACATAATAAGTATATTCACATATGGGACTCCTTATTAGGTTTTGATTTTCACTAAAATCATTCAATCATTCAATATCTACCAAGGCAGATATCAAAAGTGCTATTTACAGTAATGCCGAAAGAAATGCATTTTAGTAAGGGGTTAAAAATATGTTAAAGTGCACTGAGTGAGAATCAGGAAGTTGAAGCTCTTAAGGAGTTTGTTCCTTTCATATTAACATATTAACAGAAATAATAAAAACATATTCACATATTCTAGACTTTTGGATGTTAAAAGGTTCTAAATTAGTAATCTTACAGATAGATTTAAAACAGAAGATCAAAGATATTATTCAGTGCACATATTCACTATTTATCAACATATTTTTTTAAACAGCTAACAAAATTCTTAAATTCTTTCAAAAAATGCACTATTAATAACAGGACTTTAGAGTTTAGTAACCTTGTCAAATGATAAAATAAAGCACAATCAATAAGCTACAAAATTCCAATTAAAATACTACTAAAATAATTTTTAAATTCTTAATTTTACATAGTGAAAAACTTTATTATAAGTCCACAGGAAAACACTAACTGTGAAAATGTAAAAGCAGTACAACACACTTTTAAAATACTCTCTGTAGTCTGGAATAGACATGAGCACAATTATTTCTAATTAAATTCCATTAACTCTGCCATTTTCTTTGTCCTTTAATCTGCTAAAAATCAGGAAAAAGAGGAAGGAGAAAAAGGAGACATTTAAATGCAAGGAGAAAGACAAGCTGCAGCTGCATGACATAAGTCCACACTAAAAATAAGCTTCACTTTAGTTTTCTGTGTATAAATATTTAAGCTTCCTTCCTTCTTCAGGACCGTACTCTCAATTATAGCGCCACGGTTTGTCACAAACAGTGCCTTTAAGCATTTAAGTCCAGGGAAGATACAGACATACTCATTTCACAATGGTGTTCCTGCACCATCTCTACAGGTATCTCACAGACCATGACTAGATTATTAATGTATAAAAGAAAGGTACTGTGCAACATGTCTGAGCCATTTCCATACCTTTAAGTTTAGCACTGAGGATCATAAACTTAAAAGAACTCCACAAAAAAAAAAAAAAAAAAAACCTCCATGAAAATACAATTCTTCCAAACAAACATACCTTCAGCTCCCAATGACAAATCATCTTCAAAACTTCCTCCATTTCTCACAAGCACACCTGAAAGAAATGTGAAAATTCAGAAAATTCATCCTGGTGATCTACTCTTCCCCACACCCATGTTAAAAGAAAAGAAAAGGAAAAAAAACAACATTATTTTAGTTAACACAAACTGCTCAAGCAAAACATTTCATCAGACATGAATGTACTCAGACATCAATGTACTCAGACATCATGATGATCATATAATTTTAAGAAGCAAGCATAAGCTTTTACTTTATGAAACCCTGTTTGTGGCTAGGTAAAGCTCCCAGAAGCTAGATATACAGCCTATTATACATAAGCTTCTGAAGATGTTCAAGTAGATAACGTATCTTACCCAAGTGTTTCATGGAAAACCAGATCCTGGAGCAATCATACCTCTTAGCCCCTTTCACATTAAGCCAGGAGCTCAAGCTAGATTTTCCTGACACTGTAAATGTTTTTATATGCCTTGCTACTACCTGCACATTCTTGTTGTACTTTGAACTTGAGAATTCTGTCTTGCACGGGTGGTAAAATTTCAGGTGTGGCAATGTTAGTTAATGTAAGCAAAGAAATGTTGCACTAAAGTTGACATAGTTCACTCCTCACATTTCCCTTATGTTTCCATATCAGATTTCTATATGTAGCTTTTATGTTGCCTAACCATGCCACCATCATATATTGTGGAAAGGTTTGCTAATTTGCTTAAACTTTCCTCTGTCTTTTGGTTAATAATAGTTTCTCCCTTTGAGCTTCTAGCTAAGAACAGCCTCTTTTATAAAGATCATTTTTATAATTGATATGTACACTTTCACTCAGACTACAAATGAAGGAGGACCCTCATAAAAAATAAAAATAATTTTTTTTTTAAAAAAAGGCTTAAAAGAGCAACTTTGTCTTACCCTTCAGTGTCCCAGTGCTTTGCTCATCCAGTGAGGCTCCCAAAGGTGTACTAAAACCACAAAAACATAGAAGCCTGTCTTGTGAAAAGCGTCTGGAGAACTGTCACACACAGCCTTACTTAAAAAGTTACAGCTAAGCAAGCTTCTAAGCAGTTTAGCTCTTCTCCCAACACACAGGAATGTGAATGGATTACATAAGTAATATCCTATTAACTAAGCAAATACCTATAGTCAAGTCAGTTCACCAGGAATGACTTAATCACATCTGATCTGCCAGCAATTAAGAACAAGAATAGTAATTACAAATAATATGAAGTGGCATTTTCTTTGCAAAAAAAAAAAAAAAAATGGGGGGGGGGGKAAAAATGAAAGTATAAATTTAGAAAATATCTGTTCCTCTCAATCCTTTCCACAGAAACAAAAAAACAAAATTAGAAGAAAACAAATCTTCAGTAGCAGGTAAATTAAACCTTAGTCAAATTTAAAATTTTAAGAATCTACTTAGAAACGAGGTTCAATAGTTTAGTTAAACCTCATCTGTCAATTTATCACTAGCATTTCTAAGCAACATGCGGTAACTCCTCTACACCAGCAACTACATTTTCTGATATAAATGGAGAATCCTGAAATTCACTTTTTTCCTTTTAAACTAAAAATTCCATACTGTTTTCATTTAATTCTGAAAATTACTAAAAAATTTGGCTTGAGAATAAACATTAAGAATCAGCTAAAATTTTTTCACATTTTTCTTGTCCAAATATAATTTAGAAATTTCTTTATTCAAATACAAAAATACTTTTACTTTTTTTTTTCAAAACAAAGTTATAGAAAGAAACATTGTTTTACAAGTTCTGTTTTAGGATATAAACCTTTTCTCAGTAACAATTGACACCTGTTACAAATTCACATCAGACATGGGATCAATCATTAAAACATCTGTTTCAAAAAAATTTCACTGAAATGCCAATTAAAATTTAAAATCTTCTGCAAGCAAATATAAATGCAGTGGTAGTTTTTTGAAAAGTAGTGTTTTTGAAATGTAAAAGAATCACAACCAATTGTCATAAAGATATTAATAAAACCTTTAAACTAAGTTTTTGCATATATTTTAATAAAACTCTATGCCTTTAAAAAGCCTTTCTTTTTCCCTTTCTTTTAGCTCCTTTCTTAGGTCAAAATACTGCATTACTCTGGCCACAGATGTCTCCACTGATCTGAGAACTAACAAAAAATGGCAAATAAGCAGAATATAGCTGGTATTCTCCACTTTTATAGTTACTCTCTCCAAATTCTATCAAAATCTCCCTTTTAGATAACAATTCAAGTAATTTGTTTCCATTTAGTTAAAAAAGAAATGGTTCTCAACAACTCCCTTTAAGGAAAGAAAAGCCAGTGTCTTTATTCAGGATATGGACAGCAATGAGAAAACAAAGAATATTTGAGAACTTATGGGGGGGGGATGCCCAATTCTGGGAAGGACTCTAAATAGCTATTAAAAAAAAAATACAATTACACGTATCCTAGAGGTCAACTCTATGATAACATGGAAACATTAAAAGACTATTTGTTCTAGCTTTCCCCAGTACAAATGAATGGGCTTTTTCACAGAATAGGTGCAACTGTAGGAACAAGAACAAAAACTATGTATGAAAGGAGCAGCAGGCTTATAGAATGTTCCTACAGAAATCAAGTTCAGCAACAAAACTTTTGGAATTTTCAGGGGTGACTATTTCCCAGTGAATGTCAACATTTTGCTATTGCATTTATCCCGAAGGACACTTATTCACTTGTTCACTACCTAGTTGAAAAGATCTCTTCCACAATCTCAATTCCTACACACCATAAAACAAATGTTATTTTTCTCTTGTTCTTAACTTTTAAAACTTATTTTGAATATGCACTTGAATTTAAACAATGAAACACTACAAACTTATTTTGAAGGCAAAACCTATATTAAGACACCAAGAGTAAGTCAATACTGTATTTAGGACTATATTTAAATCAAGACTGAGATTGCAGGTTTAAAAGACCTGAGGAAAAAATAACAAAACATCCTCTTCAGTCACTTTTGTAAGAGAAAAGTTGAAAAAATTGGTTTTACAAAGTCTCTCCTAAAATGTCCAGAAGATGCTTAAAATTTCAACCTATTAAAATTTAATCTATTTTGGTGTTTAACAATTAAATGAACCAGTGGCACACTATTATGATTTCTTAATCCTGATGAGTAGAGCCACTCCGGAAATGAGGGGGTTAAGTCAGAGCTAGATTGTTAATCTGGGGGTGACTTCAAACAGTGTATTCACCTCTGTGTATCTTGAAAGAGAATCTCCATATATTTTATACTATTTCAGCAGTGTCTATAACACCCCCAATAGTGAAGAGATTCAATAAGGCTCCGGTCAATTAATCAAAACAGTATATTAATAGACTATTAGCCAATATTTGTCATTAGGGGACAAAAAATAAACTGGCATACAGGAGAACCAACTTTTCAAAACCAAAAACCAAATAACATCCCATTCTAATGCTTAAAGAAAACATTAAGAACAAACCTAAATTGAGAAAGCAAAAATATCCTCAAAAGCAAACACCAACAAAAGTTTAAAAGTTACATTCTTCATACAAGATTTTTAAACTAGCAAATAAATTGAAAACAAAAGTGAACCAAGCACATTTTACTATAGTCAGATTCACTTGCAATATGATTCATCCCCTCTGTATTTTATCAAACATTTTTGTAACCGTTGCCAAAGCATGCAATTAAACAGATTTATGCAGTCTGAATGCCTTCAAAGCTCTATTTCCTTTTGTAAATTCCAGTGCCATCTGACAAATCCTTGTCCAAGAAGTAAACTACGAGTACAAAGTTACTAGTTTTAGTAGCTCCCCAAACAGAATTAAGGCACAGAAATAAAATTAAAGCCCATTTAGGGTAGTCTAACCCACGTTTGAAGGAAAATTATCCGATGTCAGATGATACATGCCAAAAGGAAAGCAAAATAAAATATTCTGTAAAATGTAAGTATCATTTCAAATAAAAAAGTGGCAAATGTAACAACATGGCATAATGATCTCTTTCAGATTTCTGATCTCTAATGCTAATATCATGTACCAACAGCTGAGGTCCTAATAACTGTAAAAGTCAACGCAACACGGTCTTCAAATAACAGCCACAGTACTTCCATTTCTAATCGCTTAAAGGAGGAAGCTATCCGTGGCTCACTTTCCGGTTCCTAGCGTACAACCGCCACAGGACCCACGGGGACCCGGCCAGAGTCACTAAGCTCCAGCGTCCCGTGCCTGTTGATCTCCCTCTGGGACGCCAGCGAGGACTCACCGGCAGTCCTTGAGCCATATCGCGATCTTCTCGTTGGGCACGTTTCCTGCGGGGTAGAGCAAGCGGACAGCTTATTACCAAGCCAAGAGGGACTCCTATTGCTGGGTCACTCCGAACACTCCCCTATAGAAAAATCTACTAGGGGCAAAATGCAGCCTGAGCAACAAGTCTTACTGCCCATCTGAAGGGAAATCAGCGGGCACCCAGATGTCTAGGTGGACGCTGGACACGCCAGGTTACACGCGCGCATTTAAAGGTTGGAAGTGTCCCCTGTCCCCTTGGCCTATCGAGCACCGAGGGTCGCTCAGAACTCAGCGGGCTCCCGGGACTCCCGAGACTTTCCCCGGCCCGCAGCCCCTGGTCTCCCGCGCCCGCCGCCGCCTGGCCCGGCGCACCAACCTCTCCCCGTGGGTGCAGGCAGCTTCGCGCCGGGGAGGTCCTCTTCGTCGTCCTCGTCCTCGTCCAGAGTCGTCGCTTCTGTGGACAGATCCTCCGTCTCCGACGCCTGCCAGGAGCTGCGGCACTTGGCCCAGGCCTTCCTCCTGCGACTTGCCACTTGCCACTCCAGTTCCTCCTCCGCCTCTGCCGACGCCGTCAGGGGCCGGTTCATGGCCGCACCGGGGGCTCCTCTGCCCCAGCCGGAGCCTGTGTGAGACACGGCGGCGGCGGCAGGGACCCCCGCCCTTGCTGTCAGCGCTCGGCCGGGCTGGGGGCCCGGGGGAGCGGGAGCGGGCGCCGGAGGAGGAGGGGACAGGGAGGGAGGGAGGGAAGGAAGGGGAGGGAGGGGGCGGAGGGCCAGCGCTTCACATGAAGCCGGCCGGGCGCGGCGCGGGAGCGCGAGTGGCCCGGCGAGCGCTGCAGGACCCGAGCGCCGCGGCCCCCACCCCCGCCCGGCGTGCCCGGGGCGGCCGGTCTTCGCGCGTCTGCGCGCCCCTCCCTCGGCGGCGTCCCACGCCCCCTTCCGGCCGGGGGCGCGCGGGTGCGGCGGGGCGGGGCGCGGAGCGGAGCACACCCGCCCCCGTCGCCCCGCCGCTGCCCGCGGAATGGGTGAGATTTGTTTGTTTGTTAATAATCATTTCTTCTGTCAACTCCTCCCTCTTCCAAAAATAGCCATAAAGTGGGAAGGCCCAGTCTCACAAAACGCCCCCGCGCGAAAACAAGGGTCGGCTTGGGCTCCCTGAAACGCATTCTTTGAGGAGTTGCGTGAAGTGTCGTATATTTAATGTCCAAAAGACTAGGGTAAGGAAGAAACAGAGGCGAGTGATTGGCATTCTCAAAATGCCAAAACTGGAAAGAATCAAGTTTCGTAGAGTGTTGCTTTCATACCCAGGAAAGTTATTTATCATGGTTATGTGAAGTGTGAAAATGAATTGAGAGAATAATTTGGAAATGTCATATTGAAGTTGCACATAGAGAGGTGCATCAGATTGCTTAGAGTTTGATGCTACAAGAAACCAGTGATGTCAAGGTTTCTAAATACATGAGCTCTGCATTCCCTTTGTTAGTTTTTAAGTCTCCTGAGCAAATGACTCAAAATGTATCCAAAGTCTAATAAAGTATAACACAACAGTGTTCCCTTAAACATAATCTACGCCTACTGTGTAAGACTTCCAATATTTTATTGTATTTGGCTATCTTCTGATGAATAAGTTGAACACTTTTTGATTCTAACATGATTGAAAAGAAATTTTGCATAAATATTTTAAGGGATAATTTTTTTCACTTGAACTTAAAAAGAAGAGCATAGTAAAATTTCTAATGAAAATATTTGTATTATAAGGTAATTAAATGTATTGTCATTGATAGCTAATGGAAACTATAATTTTTGGAGAATATAGACTATAGAATGCTCTTGAGGTGAAATAGTGCCAAGTTTTTATCCAAACATAAGGCATGGACTGCTGAAACTGAACTCTGATTTGACTGCCTTCATTCTTTCCTATCTTGTTTCTAGGACATTGCTCCAATTTATAAGTTTCAGAAAATCCATATTTGTGAATAAAATCAACAACTTCTAATGGTTTACCAATATCCCCAAGTTCAGATTCAGACTCCAGGCTACCTTTCGGAAACCATCATAGCTTTATACTGGGCCTCATATATTTACTGCAAATGTAAGGGATGTTAAAATAGTGGTGTTCTCATCTCAATAGCTTCAATTTTCATTATTAGAGATCTTTTCTTTGACTCTTCAAGACTTCTTAGCCTTCAGGAGTCCTGTAGTAGAATGCATCTGACCATTTAGTGACCCTACAAAATAGGGCAGACCTACCTGTGGGAATGTGGGAAGGTGGGAAGGTGGGGGAGGTGCTTAAAGAAAAAGCATGGAAAGGGCTGGTCAAATGATACAAAATATGCAGACTTCACAGTTTTATTCAGGGTCTTTAAGGGACCCCACCCTGTCTGTCTGCTGCCCCCTCTTCAGTTTCATGGCATCTATATGTTGGTGTGACTCTGACTTTTCCTCTTCATTCATTCCTGTACTTTATATCAAATATCTGCTTGATTTTCAAAATCCAGCTGATTCAGAACTTTTTGACTCCATGGTTTCATCCCTCCTACTCACATCCCCTCCACAGTTCCCATATATATTTCCATATCATCTATTTTCAAACTAAATTATTAAATAAAGACTAAGACTGTCTCTGGACAGTATGTTTGGCTTACCAGCCAGATTGTAAACTTCAGAGATATAAAGAACATTTATCCAAATTCTTCTTGCACCCCTTATGCTTTCAGTACAGTGCTGATCCCAAAAGGAATACTGAATCCTCTTAAGGTGGGTTTTTTTTTATGTTTTGAAGAATAGACACTCAAACTGGCAAAATATTTGCTTTATGTTATTTCTCCAAGGCCTATTATATTTTAATTAGTCTTGCTATTGCTTAAGTACATTTTTAGACAATAATAACAAAAAAAATTGAGAAAGGCATAATTAATATTTTAAAATCAGACAACCAGAATCAAAAGAAAAAAAAGAACACAGTAGGTACCATTAGAATATAGCAATTATTGAATCTCCAATAACACAAATGTACGTTTTCTTTTGCATGGCAGTTTTTAATGCAAAGCTTTGAGGTTACATATTGGGAAGGAAATTCATGAGCCAGCTTGTTATTATTGCCTTAAAAACTAAAGGATTTGAACTGTATCATCAACTTTGAGATTTTTTTAATCCCCAATGTGTTTCATTTATTCAATAGTGAATGATAAACAGGAGATTTATATTATTTTCTAATATAAATCTGCTTCTTTAATACTTATTTTCCAAACTGTAAATCCACATTGCAAATGCTCTACATAAAGAATATTGGCTGTCACTGATGCTTAGGTAGTGGAGGAAAGAACACATTTATATTAGATGTGGATCACTCTATCTAGCATGATATAATAGAAACAGTAGCTAGCATCTTTGGTGTCAGATTAAAGTCTGAAAGTTTTACATCTCTTTTTTATTTATTTTTTTGCTGTATGGCCTAGGGCAAGACAGCTAATCTCTCTCTCTGGTAATAACTTTCCTCATCTGTGAAGTGGTAATCATATCTACCTTCCCCAATTGATGTATTAAATGAAATTAAGTAGGTGCTCAATATGGATGTTAGAATTATTTTCTTGCAAAAGGCAAAAATAGACCAGTTTTATATGAGGGATTATTCTTATGCCAGTGAATGACAAATATCTTCATGCTTATGCAGCTATATTTTAAAATTGAAATAATTCAGGCCAGGACAGAAAACATACGCTGGTTGAATTACACAATTTTAAATGGAAAAGCTTATATCATCAGTAAAACATTATGCTTGGTTTAATTACTTGGTTACATTTTACATTTCCAAACCTTAACACATGCCTCAAAATTGCAAATCAAGATTTACTGTGGAGATAAGGTAGTTCTAGTTCAGGACTTTTGTTTCTAGTCAAGCTACTGTTTCTTCACTGATATTTATGTAATAAAAAATTTTATTTTGTGTCTCAAAATCTTAATAATCCTGAGTCTAATTAGTGGTAGAGTTGCAGTTATATCAAATTTTTTTCCTTTATTATGATCAAAGGGAGGGTAAAGTAAGTAGAATATCTGGTTAAATAAACAGTAAGCAGCCTGAAATGCTGGCATCTGTAATCCCAGTGACTCGGAGAGGCTGAGGCAGAGGAATCGAAAGATTGAGACCAATATGGGCAATTTATCGACACCCTGTCTCAAAATAAAAAATAAAAAGGACTGGGCTCTAGCTCAGTGGTAGAGCACTTGCCTAGCATTTGTGCAAAGTCCCAGGGTCAATCACTGGTACCAAAACAAAATAAAAAATAAAAACCTAATAACAACAAATAATTAAAAACAAAAAATAAATGGAAAGGAGCATTTTATATTTCAAGGAAAAAAATATTTTTGGGTGAAATAGCTTTGGGAAACAATGCATATGATATCCCTTCCTCTTCTTCTACTTTGTCCCAGTCACAAATGTTAAAGACTTGAAAAGTCCTCAAATTTTATTTTAAATTAACACATTTAACGTTGTTTAGCCCAGTTGTTCTAAAATTCATTTCAGCAGCAAATATTTTGATTCCCTCAATATATGTCTTGACATTTCCAGGGATACCAGTAGAGTAATTTGCAATAGAATAAAAGTGAATGAAAGGAAAAAGTTAATCAATAGGAGTAAACTCTTCAAAAACTTGCAAATATTTACTTATTAATCATGTAATTTAACTATGGTAGTCTGAATTTGATTGATTCTTTGATATATACCTGTGAGCCATAATTATAAAGTATTACTAGTTATTATAGATATTTAAGGTAATAAGATTGTATAGTTAAGATTTATAACTCAAACCTGTTACTTATTCCTAGAAGTTTTCATATTAGCAAAAATTTAAGAATCATTGGATTAGTTGCTTTTCCTCATGAAGTAGCAATAATAAAACAATCTACTATTTTGATTTGCTCTATTTTCTTAAATACACACCAGAGGGAGAAGAAAGTATTGTATTAATACCATTAAAACTTTGCCTTTCTAATTATTTATACAATCTGGGTAAATTATTTGTTTGTATACTTTTGATTTTGTGCATATTAAAGATTTGTCAATTTTATCACTAATTCTAAGATCATACTTTTTTTTGATTGCTAAATATTCCTAAATTTAACTCCTCTGCAGTGAAACTTTGTGGCCAACTTTTTTCTTTCTAGTGGCTCAGTTCCCATGTTTATGAGCAACAGGTAAAAACGCTTATCTATTCTTCTTCAACAATGGAATAAAGCAAGATTATGTAATAGAATAAGTTTTATTGGGTCTGTTTTATGAGTTAATGAAACAAATCAAGAAGATTTTGTAATCCTCTTTATTAGATATAGTTAATGAATAGCCAAAATATTTATAGTTACCTATTATATTATACATGTATATTTATATATCACATATTACACATAATTATTTATTATATGTATTATAGTTGTCTATATTATCTGTGATGCTTAGATGCTCAAGTTTGGATCAGTCCATTCTTTTTCTTCTTAGTCCTACCCTAAAATGTTGTTTTTAAATATCTATGGCATTTTGGATCCATAAAAGGTTTTAAAGATGTATATCTATCCATAGAAAATTTTCAGTCTATGCCAATGCCAATTGATAATAAGGATGTTTCTGTAGGATACAATAAACCAGGTAGATTCTAGCATATGCATTTTCTTCTTAGTTGAAGATTATTCTTTAGCTCTTGTATAATGTGTATGATTACCTATGTTTGGAGCCATTTAGAACTTTTTGAAAGATATATTTGTTCACTGTGCATGAACAATGCACATGAATTTGGAATTACATATTATATGTAAATCTTCCTTTTTATATTTTATGAAAAGTAGAACAAAGGAAGGTTGGTGACCATGTGTACTATGTATCTAATACTGATGGATCTTGAAAAGCTTTATTTGGTATA